CCTGCCCTGTATAGATGAGCAACACTGGATTTCCACTGGGCAGCTACCTCAGGGTTATCCTCGTTGTGAAATCTACGGCACAAAAGTTATTTTTATTCGCAATTAAAACTTAATCTCGAGTCTGTGGGACCACCTTGCAGCAGAGACCAGCGGAGTGGCAGCGTGCCACCACACTGGGAGAATGAATCCCCATTCCCACCCTCGGGAGAAGCGTCCTGGGTCGGTCTGTGGTTGTGCTGAGCAAACAAGAGATGAAAATGACTCCTTAACGGAGCAACAGGAGGGTAACGGAGCCCAGGGTGTAACTGGAGTGTGTGCAGCACTCAAGATAATTCCGTTAGCACTTCTGAGGAGGGTACTGGGATTTCTGTACCTCCAGTAGCTCCAGCAGCACTGGTTTGCTTTGAGCTTGCTGGTCTGCTGCTGGAACCCAGGAAGAGCGGAGAGGAGGCGGTGGGCGAGAGGCAGAGCCCCGCGGAGGGAGGCTCTGGGCTGCCCCGGGGGGGAGGCAGGGCGAAAGGGAAGGAGGAAGGAGAGGTGCCACCATGTGCCCCTCTCGCCACCGGACCTGCGTGTCCCGGGCGGTGCGGGACCGGGCGGGATGCGGAGAGGGACCGGGCGGGGGAGGGAAGCCGGGAACCGGCGACGGCACAGCGAGCGCTCGGGAGGGGGGAAGGAAGGAATAGGGGAAGGTGAGGGGGGGGAAAGGGAAAGAGGGGAAGGGGAAGAGGGAAAGGGGAAGAAGGAGAGGCAGAAAGGGGAAGGGGAAAGGGTAAAAGGGGTGGGCGGCTCCGACCAGCCCCTCCGAGGAGATGGCGGCAGCGGGCAGGGTCTGCACCCCGGGCCCCCCCCGTCCCACCCCCGGTACCTGGCGGCGAGCGGGAGAAGTTGCGTCCGGCGGCGCTGACCGCCTGGATGTAGAAGTACCGCACGGGCAGGGCCGGCCCCGCGTCCAGCCCGGGGCCCCAGGCCAGGCTCCGCTCGGGGCTAACGGGCTCCGCCGAGCCCAGCAGCGGCGGCCAGGC